GCGGTGTCTATGCGATGTTAAGGTCATCCGAGGGCGGGCCATATTGTGAGGTTAGGTCGAGTCCACACCGGCTCGCAACAGTATTATACACGTAACGTTTCTGTTCAGTATACTCGTAAACAGTATTCTGTCGGATTACAAGTTATATACATAAACATGTAGTAGATATTATTTTGAAATAAAGATTTTGAAATTTTAATATTGGATATATTGAAAATCTCCTTACTGAATTTTGTCTTGTTTAACTATGATCCAGTAGAATCCATGATTTATAGAGGCAGATTATAAGCACACTGATAGACAATTGCAAAAAACGACAGTGATGAAGAAGACTAAGATGTAGAGTACCTATTTTGCCTGACTTGAACCTGTATTCTGCTATACAGGGTGCTACAAATACGAGGTACGAGTATTGGTATCTCGGAAACCGTAATAGATACGAAGTTGGTTAAATTGGGGCAAAGTTGCGCCTTGGGATGCCAACATGCTATCAAACATTGCCAACATGCTATCAAAAAAGTTTCAAAAATTTCAAAGATTGCTGAGTTTTTCGAGAAAAACGGATTTTTTTGAAAATCAATTTTATTTTTTCCTGGCGTTACTTTTTAGAAAATCAAAAAACTAATTGAACATTCTCATAGCCACTTTGTCAGGGCTATCTGACAGTTTTTTTTAGATTTTCAAATTATCTGATAATTTGTGACATACATAGGCCAACTTAATTTTTTTAAATACGGACCAGCATTTTTTATTTGAGGTTTTGAAAGAATTCAGTCCCCGAGTACAAAGATATGCCACACTTTATTTTTTTTTGTTTTAGTTACTTTAACAACAAAACTGTTTAATTATTATTTAACATAATTTCAAGCCCGACTCTGGATTTTTAAATTATTTAACCTGATTATATTCATCGCAACAATAAGGAAAATCGAGTCAATTGAAAGATTTAAATAAATAATATCCAGGTCAGCAATTTAAAATATATTATTTTTAACTTTTTTTTGTTAATTTGAAATCTCAATGTATGATCTAATAATATGCATAAGGATAAAGGATAATATTAATTCTAGTTATTATAAATATATCAACGTCTACAAACAAATTTCTAATGCTTTACATGTTCGAAAGGGTTTATTTAATACCACCCTCCTTATTGCACACATTTATTTTTCGTTTAATTTTATGTATAGCCCTTTCAACAGATCTTATACTTCCGAATGTATTTTGTACTCTTTGTTGTAAATGTTGAGGTATATTGATTTCACTTTTACAAATGACGTCAACACACAGATTCAGGAACCTTGATGGCCATTATCCTGCTCCACCATTCCCAATCCATCTTCCGAGGAAATGATTTTATTGTTTATATTATATTTATATTATTTATTTTATATTATTTTATTGTATTTGATTTTCCTCATTCAATGATTTATCTTACGTCATTGTTCAGTTTTAAAACTCCTCAATATTGTAACAATGATTAATTAAATATTAAAAAAAACAGAGCCGGACTTGAAATTAATTTAAATAAATAAGTGTAGCACAAATAAAAAAAAATAAGTGTAGTACATCATTGTACTCAGAAGGTCGAGTTATTTCAAAATCTGAAATAAAAAATGCAGGTCCGTATTTAAAAAAATGAAGTTGGCCTCTGTATCCCTCAAATTAACAGCTAATTTGAAAATCTAGAAATACTATCAGATAGACCTGATAAAGTTGCTATGAGAATGTGCAATTAGTTTTTTGATTTTCTGAAAAGTAACGTCAGGAAAAAATAAAATTTATTTTCAAAAAAATCCTTTTTTTCCAAAAAACTCAGCAATCCATGAAATTTTTAAAACTATTTTAATGGTATCTTCCCAAGGCGCAACTTTGTCCCAATTTAAACATCTTTGTATCTATTACGGTATCCGAGATACCAATGCTCGTACCTCGAATTTGTAGCACCCTGTATACCTACATGTGGTGAACAATGGTTAAAGTGCATAAAATGTTATCGATGGGTGCACGAAAATTGTGGTATAAAATTTGTGGTAATAAATATGTATAGTTACGTAAATAAGGAGATACATACATATTAAAAGAGAAGTGCTCCAAAAGGGAATAAATCGTTTGAAGCTCACAAATTCCTGTATGAGTGATACCCATAGAATGCCACTCTATCTAAAGAAGAAAACATTCGACTAGTGTGTACTACCAGTTATGACCTGTGCATGCGAAACCTGGACATTTAATAAGTATATTATAAAGAAACAGCAGGCCGCACAATGCTCAATGGAACGAAATATGCCGAGAATAACCAAGAAACATCGTAAAAGAATAGAGTGGATACGACAAAAGTCCTAGGTAATAGATGTTATCCACAGAATCAAATCCCTGAAGTGGCAATGGGCAGTAACTTGCAGTACACCTGGCAAGAAGAACGGACATCAGATGGACCACAAAAATTACAGCATGAGATTACACCTGAGATAGGACCATCACCATGATATTAGGAAATTAGCAGGTCTAACTTGGGCTAGCTTAGCGAATAATATCAAAGAAGAGATTATCTTATTTTATCATCAATATGTGAGGTAGACCATAATTGGAAATGGTTGTATAAGCTGAAAATGATGATGATGATGATGACGACATAAATAAGAGATGGATCACAGTACGAGGCCCCGGTCTCTTATTAGGAATTCTTTTATTGTTTTTGCCAATATTATAATAAATTTCCGTAATTTGTCGCAGCAATTAATAGAACCATCTAATGAGGAAGAAAAAGATGAACGCATGTGCAGGAATCTGCACGGCGCACAGTGATGCAGAAGTTCCCAATAATGGCAGAAAATCAAAATATCGGAAGTATTTTTTTTTAAATTATAATTTCACTCGTATAGTTTCCAATAGTCCATATTTTCAGAATCGTGAAGATTTTTGAATAAAAATGGGCCCAATATTAATCCCTGATAAGAAATGTTCGAGCTTATAAGATTATTAGCTGAAGCTAAAATATTTTGATTAAATAAAATGAGTGCGTTTAACGTTGGTGATAAATTAGCTAATGTGTTTTCAACTGTTTTTCCTCATGGTAATTCTAGTTTTAACTTCCCTGGTACCATAAAAAAAATCAATAAAGACCTTGATGTAATTAAGAACTGCTTAATCTAAAATCACATTTTATGTAAGCTAATACAAAATGCTCCAAATTGCTCCAAAAAAATATGATGTAGGTTACAATTATTAGCCTTTTTTCTTCATAACTACGAAGTTTCATGACCAACATTAACCCACAAATACCCTTTAGGTTGCTTAACACTCCCGAAAATCATGATTTAGTTTCCCAAAATAAATTACGTATGACAGTATATTACTGGGTGTTTCTTAGGTGTTGTAAAATATTGTTGTTGGTTATTTTTAATTAGTTTTAGAAAGGAAACTGTAATGTATTTTCTCTTATTCACTTTAATTTTCGATATACCCAAAGTATGCAAATTTAAAAATACTTTTTAATGTGTAATTTTAACTAGCTTTTCTTAGTTAAGCGTAAGTTTTTATTCGTTTTGTGCTTATATGACATTAAATTTAATATTATTAGAAATCTCATTAATTTTGAATAATTATTGTTAATATAAACTACAAAGACATGTCAATATATCTATGATGCGTCAATATTCAGTCAACAACTTTTATCAAGAATGTCATGCTCCTTCTAGATACTAATTTTCTCGGATATAGTAAGAGATCACCAAGACTTCTCCTGTCAAGTAAAATAGAACAGCATCCTGAGGCTCCAAAACTTATTATAAATTAAATTATTCTATTTTTTATGCATTTCCTAAATTCATCTTAAATATATTATCCATCTTATCTAGAAGCTTTAGGATAATTTTTAGTTTCTTTTTCTTGCGTATTAAATTCTTGTAACTAAGTTCTAACTATAATCTAAGTATAATATTTTTACCACAGGTAATTCCAGATATTTCTAAATTATAGAACATTTAAAAATATAACTAAAATTAAATGGTTGTAAGTGAACAACAACTTACATCTAATGCGAAAAGAACGCTCTGAGAGTCTTTTAGATGTTTTGGTGTTACTTTCATTAATAGCTAAACCACATAAAATATACAAATGTATTTAATTTCTTTTTTTCTTTTTTTTCTCATGGAAATGAATGTAAATATCTTTTTTAAATTGAATTTAAGTAATACTTATTGGTAACAAGTTCTGAAAAAAGGATTAATTATTTTAAAAACGAAATGATAATTCTATTGTAAGGGGCTGAAAATAAAACCGTGTATATTTATTTATGTGTTTACACAAACTTTTTTTGATTTTATAAACTTTACAAAGAATAGAGTATTAGATTAATATGCTATTAAAGACAAAATAATATAATTAAATTTTTTACAACACATTTTTTATTTTTGACAGCCAATTTAAGGACACTCTGTATACATAATTCAATTTTCTGAATTAGAAACATCACTTATATACTTAGAAAATCACATTTAAGAAGAATAATTTAAACAAATGTAGTAGTAAGTTGAAAAATTGTTTTTTGTCACTTACACTAGACGTTTAATTTAGTTTTAATGAGTAGTTATAAATCTGATCTTGAATTTAAGAGTTCTCAGGTTGTAGGGTTTGAAGCGCTCTGCTGAGGGGATATACTTGATATGTTTTATACTAGGACCATTGGTCGATTTACATACTTCTTTTCTCTCAACAATGTGATAAATTAGATTTGCAAGCGTACATACTTATTTTCCATTCTGACACTTTTCCGTAACATTCAATGTAGAATAAGTAATTATCTGTAAACCAGTCAACAGACAACACGAGTACCTAATATATTTTGGTTTGTATAAAAATATACTGGTTTTATGTTTATTGTTTTATTAAAAAAAAGTTTATATTATATTTTATTATTTTAAAGTTTTATTTTTGGATATTCTTTAGTTCTTATTATTAGTTATTTCCATTTCTGAATTTACTTTTTTTTATTCCAGGAAAGTCGTTTTCTATTACGATTACGATATTCACCTCGCCACCAGTTGTGACTATGTACTGTAAGGCTATCAAAGTTACAGTGGATGGTCCAAGAGAACCCAGAACAAAACCTAGTAAGTATTTTTTTCCATTTTTATATAAATCAATTACAGCGCAAGTCTACATTTTCCATTTTTCATGTGAAATTTGATGGATACCAGAGAGCAACATGTTAAATATTATTAGGTCATTTTAATCCACTTTAAAGTAAAAAAATCGATTAGGGAATAAAACTTAAGGCCTTCCAATTCGACTTTGATAAAACAGTTGTAAATTACAACAGCTTTACCATACAACAGCGTAAAAGAGAGACGCGCGCAACATCCAAGTATATTTATATGGTAGCATCCGGCTAAGTTGGTCCAAGTACACTTGGACTGTGTCAATCATCAGGCTTAACTAAAATCATTATTGATTTGGTTATACATGAGATCTCAAAACTTGTTGTAGTGGAAGAGTCCCTTCCTTCGGGTCCTTGCAGCTTCGGCAAACTTCGTTAAAAAGAATGCCCATTCTTATCACATGTTAGCCAATTGGTCAGTGTCCCGTATATACCGCCGCGCCGGCGCCGTAAGCCTGGCGATATCCTTACGCGACTTAGTTATGAGCTCTCCCGATTTCTTAAGGTTGTATTTGGGCCAAGTTTTTCTGGCTGTCCTGTAGGTGCTTAAAGTTTTCTATCTACTGTTCACCATAGACAGAAAATGGAGGTAAATGTCTTTTTTATGGTATTGAGAGGAGCAAAAACTTCCTCTGATGCATCTAACTCAAGGCACGATCATCGCCTTGCAAATTCATCAGCGCGTTTGTTCCTTTCGATGTTCCTGTAGCCTGGAACCCAAAGCAAGGTTATATCATACCTACTTGCCATGTAGGATAACTTGCCGTACGTTTTTTTTACAATTTTGGAGGATACGGTAGATGAGTTCAGCGCCGACATGGCTGGTTGGCTGTCAGTGATTATTGTAGTTTTCGCTCATATAGGTGTCTCCTCGCTCAACTATTCGCAGGCCTTCCAAATGGCAAGTATTTCTGCCTGGAAAGTACTTGATCTCTCCGGAAGCCGGTAAGACCTTGCGATGTCAAAACCCTTCGAGAACACACCCTAACATATACCTGAATCCATCTTGGATCTGTCAGTAAATATCGCGATATCAAATTCCTTCACTAGTTTTTGAGACTCCTAACTAGAAAGTTCTGTTTTATGTTTACTTTAGATTATGTTTTGATAAAACAATTGTTGAATATGGTTTCTTTTATTTTAACAAATTTTGAATATAAATATTTTTTAGAAAGTAAGAAAGACCATTAAGAGTCCATTTCACTAGTCCGAAAAAGTAGCAAAATAAGTGTTACGGCATATAACGCTTGATGTAAAACTGGTTAGGTATTTTTACAAAAATGAAGAAAGTAATTAAAGATAAAGGATTATACTATATCCGTATTGTAGCACATTTTTAGACAACTTTATTTTTAAGATTTTGATGTTCAAACATCAACATAATATGCGTTATGTTTGGACTAAATTTTCTCGAAAATAAAGCTATAATTTAAAATTCCACAACGTATCGTTACAATACGGAAACAGATTGAAGTTTTGTGATTACAGTAATACATAATTTATATATGGTTTTGTAACAAATTATCGCTTTTTATTGCAAATGCTGAAGATCTGTAAACCTTAATTAAACCCTAATCAAAGCACGTGTGTTTGGAATTTTGGGTGTGGCTTAAAACGACAGGATCGGACTAAGGCTTAAGCTTGTTTCATATAGACGCGAATCGCGAATTGCGATTTTGCGAAACTGCTCTCATTGGTCCAATTTTACTGATCATGGCGGCGCTGTCAGAAATTTTAAGATTTTGGCGATTCGCAAGATTTAAAATTTGGGGGGCGGGAAAGTTAAAGTGTTTTCAACTTTTTGCGAATATTCGCGCGATTTTAAGGTTCGCGTTTGCGCAGAATGGTGTTGTGATCCGGTTATCGATTATTTTGACGACGCTGCCACAAAGCAGAGCACAAAGTACCAAAGCAGAGACCAAAGTACAAAGTAACTGAAAGCATTTCTCCAGGTGAAATGGGTTCTCGTGTATATGTTTTTGATATAATATGGTGACAATTTTTCAACCAAGTTATCAAACTCCTGTACAGACAATCTGTGAAAATTCCTAAATTTTTTCTCATCTTTTGTCCTCATTTCTTGAATTAAATTGCGATAAGCACCTTGTTGCTTACGAAATTTAAATATTTCACATGTCCCAAATGACCTATAAACCCGTTCTATTCTAGGTTTTAACAATAAGTAAATGGCAATTTTGCATCTTCTGTTCCAATCCCACAATCATAATCAATATTCATAATCATTAAACAAATTTAAACTCATATTGTATGCTATAAAATATAAAATAAAGATCGTAAACACGAATAAAAACAAATTAAGTTATCTCAGGTTATGATTTTTTTTAGTAACTTTCAGTGGAGCAAAAATGAAATGTCCCTAAAAATTCGCGACTGTATGAAATAGGTCCACATTTTGCGAATATTTTTTGGCGAATCGCTTTTCGCAATTCGCGATTCGCGTCTATATGAAACAAGCTTTAGGCAGATTTCAGAAATACAATATATGTGTCCTTCGGCCACACACCCGCTTTACCCGACCCCTGAGAGCGACCCGAAAGTACAGCGTAATAGACTCTTAATCGCATACCGTTTTCATAACTTTTTGGTAAATCCTAGATATTTGAGGGAGGTTTGAAAAATGTTTCGCCTGTGCCTCTTTTTTACCTGTATTTACCTGATCCTTGGCAACATGAGTGTTTCTCATAGAGAATATTAGAAATTGGAGTTTGGAGTCGAGGGCATGGCATGAACTACTGCAGAAATACTTGAAATCTTAGATTATTATAAAATAATCTTCATTTCTAGTAACTTTGTATCTTTTGATTCTTTTTTACATTTTATATTACTGATGGGATGTTATTTGAATGCTCTACATCTGATTCAAATACCTTTCGAACACATTCCACTGTCCCAATTCTACGTTCCTTTTCCTCTTCATTTTCATCATCCCCTTTCTCCTATTAATTAATCCTTTTCATGGGCCGTAAATTCGGTCCCGCGTGCCGACAACAGAAACGCCGGCCACCACCGGGAGTCACTGGGGGGAGGAAGCGGTAGTCCTCCCCCACCCTCTCCCAGGTCGCCCGCCCGTACGCAAAATCTATGCGCCCCAGGTTCATCGGCGGTAAATGGCGTAATTACTTACAGAATAATGAGCCTGTAATTGCAGAAATGGCAGATTTGTAAATTGCTAATCTGACGCATTTGTCAGTGATTGGTTTGTGTACACGTCCGTTCGCCCGGTCCGGCCTGGATGCGCTCGCATCGGCGATGACGCCGTCGCCGGTCTGCGGACGGCATTTAATTTTGATTTTTTGTTGTCCCGCGAGTGGAGAGGGTGTCTGTGACCAGGAATGGCTTGACCGGTTGCAACCCGTGTTTAATTCTAAAGGCAATTTTAAGGTGAAATTTCTGAATGTGGTAGACAATGATGCAGTCTTGAAACTAAAAGAATTTTGGAACGCTTCGGTAATAAGGTCTCGGTCGGTTCCAAACATGTTGTAGAAATACTTAAGAACATAGAATTTCAGATGAAATTCTTAGTTTTGATGTAGAAAATTTATATACTAACGTTCCCTTGAATCGTTAGACATTGTCGAGACTAGATTAAAGGCAGACATAACATTTTCAGAAAGAACTTCGCTGCCTCTTAAGGCGCATTATTACGACTCGTGTACAAACCAAACATTTGTTGTTGGAATATGTCGCCATGTCGTGAGAACGGTTTCCTTGGTCACTCGTCGCGTTGCCACTCTCTGTTGGTAAACATAGCCCGAGTCAAAAGATCACAATTATTCGTACACTTGCCAAGTGTAGCCTTGTCCAGCCTTGGTTATACTTGCTGAGGCGCTCAAACGACTGCGCAAATAATAATTGTATTGTTATAGTAATTGTATATATATAATCGTATGTCCCGTTTATTTCCGCATCGTAGTGTTTTTCGAGTTAATTGTGGATAATTTAAAACGTTAAAACAATAATAGATTATATAATATCAAATTTACATTAATAACTTCAATATTGGCGACATACCTAAATCGTTCCTTCGGCAATAAATAGAGCGGGCAAATGAAGACTACACGGGAAAAAGATATGTCACATTTTCATAGAAATTAAGAGAGCGATACAACTTTATAGGCAAATGTTAGCACCATTCGAGAAAAAAGAAAGCAATAATATTTTGTCGTACAATGGAAAAACCAGAGTAGTCCACGCGTAAATGGCAAAACCCAGAGATTTCCTTACGCATGGGCGAAAAGCATGCATCTTGCAATTAGCATTAAATGTAGTAAATTTATGTATTCAAATAAAAACCTACTTAAATATTAATTTTCTTCCTACAACAAATAAAGAATAGTTTAGATTTATGCGATGGTCATGCAACCTTTAATTGGACATCTCTGGTTTTTCCCCTGTTTTGTTTGGCATTTTGATATTTTTATTTCATAGAATCACTAGCAACGATAATTTCGGGACGACCAGTATACTGTTTACTTGCCAAGGATTTAAACAATATTTGTGCTGGCGTACTTGTTGAAATGGACACGTCGTGTGAGCGCCACACTTGCCAATGTTGTTTACAAAGTGGGGATCATAGAATAATTAACTGAACTGGAGGGGATACTTGCCAAATACGCATATATTGGCTTACTTGCCAAGTAGACGAGTCGTGAGAATGCGCCCATTAGAGGAGTGATGAAACTCCTTAACTGTGTGACTTAAAGAGCATAAAAAACATGTAAAAAGAGGGTTATAAGTTATAAGTTGAGTTATAACTCATCATACAGTCTCAGGGCTTTGACAAAAGCCAGTATCTGAGACGGTTTTACAGAGATTAGTTCTCGATCTCCGATATCAGTCGTACCAAAGTTTATGGCACGAAAGTTTATGAACACGAGGTGTTCTGGTGTTTCCGAATTTTCTCCACAGAATCGGCATCCGCCGTTGTTTCTT